CCAAGAGAATGTCTGAGACTTGGTAGTGCTCAAAATGCCAGTCACCTAACACTGTCTGTGCAGCAAATGAATAGGACTTTGACTTCCATCAGAGTGGAAGCCTGAAATAATCCCTCCCACACCGCAACTCTATAGCAGCTCTGCTTGAAGTCCTCTAAAAGCAGACCGAAGCTGCTTCTTTTCTTCCCTCCTCACTCGTACACAGTCTCCCACAGGTGTCTCGCTCCATCTCGCCTTCGCACAGATGTACACAGGAGGCCGTGACTGACAAGGTAAGGGATCGCAGGGAGGCGTGCGGGTGAAAGAGGAGAATTACCATATGTAAAGAACGGAGGTGCCAAGGTCTCCCTTTTTTGTCTCTGGATAAAGCAGGCGGGCTACAATGGGCACGATGAGCGCAGGTAGATGTACGAGCTCACAGTGCCGACACACAAATGGAGGCAAGTAAATGCAAAACACACATGTATAAGACTTGAGAGGGGACAAGGAGGTCTCAGTGTCTATCCAGGTGTGCTGAGGATGCAGCGTGGACCACTTCCTGTCTATGGGACGGCCGACAAGGATGACAGCGCTGCATGGTGTGGAGATCTGATTAGCAATGGGAGCGAAGCAGAGTGGGGTTTCTCATCAGGATCGACTTTCACACCAATGTTATAGTGCTACTGTTATTTCTGATGGGGAGATGTGCACACTGAGACCAGGCTGTGGGTATGCCTATGGGAAGGAGGGGCTTAGCTGGTCATCCTTTTTATTTTGTTGTCGTGTGAATAGCTAAAAACAAATGTAAATCTTTTGCCACTATTTCTTTAAATGTCTGTGTTGTTGGAATAAAAAAAAAGAACATCATGAAATATTCTTTCACGTTTTGCAAGAATTGACCCACGGCACTCGACTGTAAGCTGCAGCAGAAGTTGACGTGTGCCAGTAGGAGGCTAACCACACACTGTTGGATTAAAAACCCGCAGGCATGTGCTGGGCACAAAGACACGAACAAGAAAACTCAAACAGCGCTCAGAGAGAGCAGACGATGGAAAGGTACATTTCCTGAGTTGGGAAGATTTCGTTTTCATGAGCTTTAAGCCGTTTAGTGCTGAAAACAACACATTGGCTGTTTTTGGGTTGTCTTTTTCATGTGAATTCTACCCGTCGGAAAGTAATTTTTCCGACTATTCCGATACCAAATGAACGTCTAACGGAAGCAGATGTGTTTTGTTGTTTGAAGTGGATCGTGACGTGCTGTATTTGGGTTTCGGTAGGCAGCTGCTGTCCCTTTTTCCTTGGACTGTGTGGCGGCACTGAATCTGTTAGTGGTACTGAGTACCGGACCGTACCGGCCTACTGTCTCCCCTGATTACTGCGTTCACATACACGTGTGCATGTGAACTTGTGTGTTTGTGTGTGTGTGTACTAATAGAATGTGGAATTGTCAGGGAGACAAGCAAAAATGCCAAAAAAGCTTGAAAACACAATGTGTGCAAGATTAAGTATAAAGCACAAAGAAAATGTGTGGCGGTGTGGCGGAGATGTGGAGGGAATGCTTTTAGAGGTTTAAGAAAATCTTTCAGTAGCGTGATCATTATTCATCATCAATCATTCGTTACAGGTGTGAAAAACTGAAACGCATTAATCTTACGAAAAATGCAAATTGCTGAATCCAGGTGTTTAAAAAGTCTCTATGCTGCCGTGATTACAACCAAGATGTTATTCAAGCTAATCAGTTTTCATGTTCTTTAATGAACAAAAGGAGAAGTCTAGGAAGACTGTTTTATTTGTTTTCATAGCACTAATAGGGCTTTCAGTAAGATCATTACGCCACAAAAGATCCATCCTCGCTTTTTCTTACATTTGTTTCCTCTTCCTCACCAAATAATCTCCAAAACCATCTGTGCTGAGAGTAAAATTACATGTTGCCCCGCCCTCTTTTTCTGTCATCCAAACCTGTCTTTATGTGTCTCTGTCTGTCTATCCTCAAAGCTCAAATGAAATCACACAGGAAGCCAAAGCTGGGAGGGAGAAAAAAAAAAAAAAAAAAAACACTCAAACGTAAGAGGCTTGTGGACATCTCAAATGCACTCAGAGAGGCCATTAATAAAGATAATTAGCACAGGAGATGGGAGAAAAAAAAAAGAAGAAGAACGGGGGGCCGGCTTGGCTGATGTAAAATCTCATTTCTGTTATTTAATTGATTAGATACTGAGGCAGGAAATCCACCAATCATTTTGTTAGAGCACAGAGCTCCTACAACAGGCATCTCTATCCTACACACACACACACACACACACACACAGATCCCGTCATCGGCCAGAGGGAGCCCGAGGGGTCATTAGTGAAGAAGAAGATCAGATATCACCAATTCATCTTGGTCAAAATGATTAGGGAGACACACAGGGGGAGAGAGAGCGATGTATAGCGGGGGTCTGCTGTGTGCATTTCCAGTTTCATGTACTATTGTGATGTTGGAGTCGTTTATCAAACACCAGCAGACGTACGCCCACACAACGTTTCACACACGCACACTCAGACGCAGTCGAGGCTCCGGTTCAGAGAGGTCAAGGTGATTATCGTCACTGTAACTCACAGAAGTCGGCGGCAAGCTGCACTTGTGTTGGAGGTTCGTCATTAGAGTCTGCACTCTGTGGCAACGCATGTGATATTATTAAAACGCTGTGGGAGACACCTCTGGCAATTAAGTGCCCGACATGAGTGGTTTGGTAATCTTTGGTAAATAGCAATAGCATGTACATCAAATTATCCAACGAGAGAAACTCAGCCCCGGTGTTACAAACTATTTTCCAATGAATGTAGCTAACGGCGCTAGCTCGAAAGGTTGCTGAATCTAGAGAGAAAGTTGCCAAGTCGGGCAACACGGACAGCCAGTCCCCCTTCAGGCCTCCCTCCAAAGCCACTCCCCTAAAATCATCGTAATGAACGTAAACGTCAAACATGGCTATTGGAAGTACTCACAGCTGTTAAGCTAGCAGGTTGTGGAAGACTCCGGTGATGAGCAACGAGTGCACGAGCAGCAAACATGCAGGTAGCCCGTTACATCATTACATTCCAGCTGACTGAAATGCTTGGACCCTAACGACCCTACGTTTAAACTAAGAGCTGGAGCTGTACATTGCTGACTGTCTAATACCCCATTCAGACAAACACAATGACGAGGCTGTCCAATTAATCTGAATGGGTCGACTTTAGAAAAACTGGATGTTTCGAGATGTCGCCCCATTCAATTCATTGACAGTTGCTCACTGCCCGCCTACGCCAGAACCAATTTTCAGGCTACTTCCACCCGAGCTTGTTGAGAGCATCCACATTAAAGACTTCCTCTTTACTTCCTGTTGGCATTCAAGCAATAAACCCAACCAGAAAAATCCAGAAACGGCAGCAGGAGAGAGACAGAGAGCACGTTTGAATTGGACAAGCTGAACAACTGAGCTGGCAGCAAGTCTCTATGAAAATGAATGCACACGTGTTCCAAGGCCACGTCGTACGCCGGCCCCAGTACGGAACGGGTCGACTACAGCATCGCATGAGTCACGTTCATCCGTACATCACATACAATGTCTCAATGGGCTTTACAGGCACACACACAAAAAACACAGCTCCCAGAGCCAGCTAAGCTCCCTGAGCTCTCAAGGAAACACAGAGGGACTAACAAGCAGAAGGCTTGCTTGTCTCTTATCTTAGCAGTCTCTTTCTGCACTTCAATAGGCTTATCATTCAGGCCACAGCGAATTACGCAAACAAACAATTGAAGCAATATTATCCAGCACAAAAAGCAGGTATAAAGCCTAACTACCAAAGGCACAGGCTGCTTACTTTCCTCTGGTCAAAAGAGACGTAAACTCACCTTAAGTAGCCGACTTAAGAAAAGTCCACGGAGCCGTTAGTTTATTGCCTCATAGTCCCTTTGTGTAAACGTGAATAGGCGATTTATTCAGACAGATCAACACAATATAAACGGAGGAGAAAACAGACACAGGCCTTTGCTAATGACAGTATATGGAGCATCTTTCAATCCCAATTAAAATCAAACATACTTTAACAACTAAACTCAATCAATTCCCAGTTAGATATTCCTTTTCAAGTTGATTGATCGGCTTTAAAAAATATGTGCCTTTAGGTTGTGTTATCTTGTGTACCTCTTGGAAAAAAAAAAGCAGCTACACAGCTGGTAGCTTTCATCTGAGGAACTGCCAGGGTACACACACACACACACACACACACACACACACACACACACGCACACACACACACCGACAAACACACACAGCCGCTTTGCAGCCACTAAACAGACAAACGCCGCCACGCGGGGAGTCAAATAATTCATGCATGCTAGCGTTAGTCAGCATTGCCACTCCTGGCGCTTCAGCGCTGAAGCACTCCAACCGTGCACGGCAATGTAGCTGATAAAAGGATCAAATACTCTGTAAAACAAAAGGCAGAATGGAATCAAGCAGAGGAGGGAAGGCAGTGTAAACAAAATAAAAAAAGGGGGGGGGGGGGGGGGGGGGGGGGGGAGACGATGCAAGAGGGATGTAAAGGCCTGTCTGTACGCTGGGAAGGAAAACAGCATGGATGTCTCCTGTCAGACAACACAAATACATCTAATCCACAAACACCAGCAAACGCATGGAAATCCTGCCAGGAGCAGTCAGCGACTACGTCACGTGCTGCGCTCTGAAACAATGCTGCTCTGAAACTCATATGTTTTTGGATTCACACTTTTCATATCGGATCAGAACATTTCCCCTTTTAATAAATTAGACTACGACGTGAACATCTACCGACCGCCCTAAAGAGATCCAGAGAACATTACTTTATTCCGCGTGAAACTTTTCAATAACATTTTTACTGTTTGCGGGTCTCGCGAGGGGGCCCGAGTCGTAAAAACCAAATGAGTCCTGAATCAGGGTAGCGGCTGCGGGTAATAACGGTTATGATGATAATGTCGGAGTTTGACTGCAACAAAGGGACAGTGATTGAAAGTATCCTACCGTGGTCTGTGATTTTACAAGACACGAGGTAGAGCTCCTTCAGACTGCGGCCCTCCTTGGCGATGATTTCCACGCACCTACAGGGAAACACACACACACACACACACACACACACACACACACACACACACACACACACACACACAGAGAGAGAGAACAAATGTTTAAAGCGTCACAGAGGCGCCTTCGCTCTGTATATTGCACTTCACATTAGCTTGAAGGCAATTTCGAGCCTGCCTCTAAAACACTGAAATGCATCCACACAAGCAGTACAGCACAGCGGCTCTTAAACTCTGCTATACACACACACACACACACACACACACACACACACACACACACACACA